AGAAAACATATCATATATAAATACATATACATACACACACACACATATCTCCAATATTTTTTTCTAGACAAGAACCAAAAAGTACTGGACATGATGAGTCTGAATGTTGTTGTTCAGTCTACTCTTTGTGACCCCATTTGGCGTTTCCTTGGCAAAGATACTGGAATGGTTTGCCATTTCCTTCTCCAGCTCATTTTACAGATGGGAAAACTGAGGCAAACAGGGTTAAGTGACTTGTCCAGAGTCACACAGTTAGTAAGTGTCTGAGGCCAGATTTGAACTTAGGAAGATGAGTCTTTCTGACTCTATTCACTGTGCCTCCTAGCTACCTTATGAGCCTGAATAACATCACAAAAATGGAATTATCGAATACCTGACACTTTATATACTGACATATTTTACAAAACATTTTACATTATCACATTTAAGCCTCATAAAAATTCTGTAAAATAGTTATAGAGATATTACGATCCTCATATTACAGATGAGAAAATTAAGGTTTAAACAGCTGATGCTTCTTGCTCATGGCCACAGTCAGTGTTAAGAGGTATGGTATACCTTGACAGAAAATGACTGACTAATGATGTTGGGAGACATTTCTGGATTACAGATGTGTGTGCAGTCAATAATCAATTAGTTGGATGAAAGTTAAAAACACCAAACTGAAAAAGCATCACTATGAGAAGATGACGCAACAGTCAAATACAACTCTAACCTAACCTATTCAGACAAACTACTGATGCTAAAAATTGGGAAACGGATAATTGAAAACTCATTGATTACCACCATTTCCTAAAGAAGTTTAGTTGATATAATAAAAGAAGGAAGATAAAAGAGCCTAGAAACAATCTCAGCCACCAAACAATCTCTTTGCTGTGAAGAGACAATAGAAGCCAGAAGTAAAATCATTTGCAAATCAATACTGAGAAGGAATAGAAGAAGCTTAAAAGCAGTTTTTTTTTTTTTTATGTTTTCTGCAGTATTTCTTTTATAACAGAAGTAGTGGAAGGGGTAACGAATCTGTAGAAGGAAGAAAATGAGTCTTTCAGAAAGTTTGATTTAAGACCTATCTGAGCCAGATCATCAAACAGCATTCATACATGAAATTGGGAAAACAACAAATTAATGAAAAATGAAATAATATTTACCTGTGTTAAACAGCTAGAACTACCACATTTGGACTAACTTCTCAACTTCTGTTGGTCCACATTGCTCAGCAACTCATATGTAGCTTACCAAAGTCTCTAACAGTCCCTAACAACTTAGGGAGTTGCCTAGTGCAGTAAGGCATTAAGTGATTTGCCCATGGTCACCAAGGTAGTATGAATCATAAGTAGGCCTTGGGTACTCCTAACTTTAATACTGGCTCTCTAACCACTATACTACACTGCTTCTTGACGTCAGGAAAGTTTTTCTAAAATTCAGAGCTGTCCAACAGTGGAATGGGCTGCCTTAGGAGAGGCAGAAGCTGGACCACATTAAAGCAGAGATTTCTTTCAAGTTTGGGCTGGACTAGAGAGCTGCTGAGGTCCCTTCCTATTCTAGGATTCTACAGATAAGCAGTCCATAGGATCGGTACATCTATGTATCTTGTATAAGGACCATAGATGGAACATAAAATGGGCCAAGAATTGCAAAGGGAACCAGGTGGATTGTACTTGGGATACTACACAATTACTTGCCTTCTCAATAGGTAGGGGGAGGGGCTGGAGGAACAGAGAGAATGTGAAACTCAAATTTTTAAAAAATGTTAAAAATAAATAAAAGGATATTACACAGTGCTTTTAATGATTCCAAGCTGCTACCAGACATAAAACCTAACTTTTTTTTAAACACCAATATACGACCATAGTATCAAAATAAATATTCTTCCAGAGATGTCATATGGCCATGAATTGTGAAATGCCATTATCACTGAAGAATCAAAACCAGAGTCACCTAAAGAACAATGGAGAGATACATGAGAGGTTGCAACATATTACCAGTGATGAATTGTACCCAAGAAGTAGCATAAAAATTATCATCCAGAAAACCTGTTATCAAAAAAAGCAGATAGGCGAAGTGGCTAATGTGACAAAAAAGAAAAATGTTGAATGTTGGAGGGGATGTGGGAAAACTGGGACACTAATGCACTGTTGGAGTTGTGAACTGATTCAACCATTCTGGAGAGCAATTTGGAACTATGCCCTAAGGGCTATAAAACTGTGCATACTGTTTGATCCAGCAACATCACTGCTAGGTCTATATCCCAAAGACATCCAAAAAAAAGGAAAAGGATCTATTTGTACAAAAATATTTATAGCAGATCTTTTTGTGGTGGCTAAGAATTTGAAAACACAGGGATGCCCACCAATTGGGGAATGGCTAAACAAGCTATGGTATATAATTGTTATGGAATATTATTGCGCTATAAGAAATGACAAGTAGGATGATTTCAGAAAAACCTAGAAGACTTACGTGAACTGATTCAGAGTGAAGTGAACAGAACCAGAAGAATGTTATACACAGTAACAGCAATATTGTTCAATGAAGAACTGTGAATTACTTATTTCTGTTCTCAGCAATACAATGATACAAGGCAATATCAAAGGACTAATGGTGAAACATACTATCTACCTCCAGAGAAAGAATTGATATTGACTGAATATAAAATGAAACATGCTATTTTTCATTTTTCTTTTTTTTTTCTTTTATTCAAGTCTTCTTGTACAAAATGGCTCATATGGAAATGTTTTACATAATTGCACATGTATAATCTATATCTGATTGCTTACTGTCTCAGGGAGGGGGAGGGGAAAGAGAGAGGGATAGAATTTGGAAATCAAAACTTAAAATAAAAATGTTTAAAAAATTTTTTTAAAAAGCAGATAGGCTAGTCACATGGCAAGAGCAAAGAATAAGAAAAAGGAAGCCTGGATGAAGCACTGGTACCTCTTGAATGCTAAAAGATCTAGTGGAAGGTCTCCCAACAACCCATCCTCTATGGAAGATACAAGTGAAGACAAAGGCCAGAATCACACAGAATGAGAAGGTATTAATGAATTACAATCTATATTACTGGAGAGAATCCCTGTAGCAAGAAGATCATGAACCTTTTGAAATATTAAATTGAGAATAATAGCCAATACACTGGATGACAGAATCAAGATCCAAAAAGATGCTGACAGAATGTAACAATGAGCTAATTTATAATTTAATAGGATGAAGAAACAGATATAACTGTAAAGTTCTACACTTTAATTAAAAAAAACCAACAGCTTTATAGGTCTAGGATGAGGAAAGCATGGCTAGACAACAGCTTGTATTAAAAAGATCTGGATATTTTAGTAAACATCAAGTTCAATACAAGTCAATAATAATAAATCATATTTATTGAGTGCTTTCAATTTAATAAAGCACTTTTCTGACAACTATTACAGTTTAATAGGAGGAAAACTTCCTACTGGAGCTATGTAAAAATTGAATAAGCTACCTTGAAGAGCAGTGATAGTGAGTCCCCTATCAATGGACATATTGAAGCAAAGTCTGGATTACCACTTCTGGGCCATGTTGTAGAAGAGATAAGTGTTTAGGTACTGTTTGGACTAGATGACCTTTGAGATCATACTAAACCTTAACATTCTAATGGTCTCAGATGGCAAGTGCTGCTCCACAACCCTGGTCACTATAGCCCATATGAGCAATACCTGAGTCTCTCCCTCAGCTCTACCTCTAATGTAATCCAAACAAAATAATGAAAGCAAGTCACATCTGACTTCAGTTGTTAAGAAAAGATAAGTATTCAGGGGAAGATCTCTCTAACATCAATATCTACAGCCCAAAATCATCACCCAATGATCTTTCTACCCATTGTCAGTCTTCCCTCCCTCACTGCCACAGTAAAAGAACATCTTGTGACCTGTCCACAAGGAAACATATGGCTGAGATAATCAAGATGACCTACATACTATCCCCAAGGACTGAGGGTGGAATAAGGAGTAGGGGTAGGCAGAACACCTCCTCCTCTTCCCCAGTCTCCTTCAAGTTCACTGGACAACTAGCACTGCCTGAGAAAGAGCTGAGAAAGCTGAACATGGAACAGTCAGTGGCAGGCTTTGATATACTATTCCTGTCTGTTCTATATATCCATCTCTCCTCCCTAGGCATACGCTCCTGGAAGGAGATAAATAGTCCAACTAGAGATATAAGGGAATTGGGATTCTATTCTTTCTTCCTCAGAGGGCTCTTCTCCCTGTATGACCTCTGATTTGCTGTCCTTCCTCCTCATTATCTCTTAGGCTTACCTCCAGTGAGGAGGAATGATGAGGCAAGGTGGGCCAAGAATGCAGGTGAAGAGGGAGAAGACATTTCCCCACATTACAACTTCCTAGCCTCGATTATAGTGGATGGGGATACCTTACCCTACAAGATGTCTATTTTCCTTTTCCTAGTTCTACTATCTTCTACCTCTCATCCCACAACCCTCCTGCTCCCTTCCCCATTCATCTATTTTCCCATCCCTTCATCCCCTACCCCTTAAGCCCCTATTCCCTCCCCCCAAGAGCACTCACACCATGGGGGCTTCTCAGAGCGCTGCCGGAGCTGCAAAGGGGGTGAGTGAAGGGTCTGGGGTGGAGCAAATGGGCCCCCAGGAGCCTGGTTGCTGTGCATGGAATCAAACAGAGCTGGAGAGGGAAGAAAGAATACACATGAGTGGGAGTTTGAGTGTGCGGGGTCCAAGGCCTTTCCTCACAGGTCTCAACTACTGTACCCCTTCTCAGCCCTCTCATGTTGAAAAACTGGGAAGGAACCATTTCCAGAGATGCTAGGGGTCAGCAGAGGCCTATGTGTGATCAGATGTTCCTTCCTAGCCTTAGCCAGCCCTATCCTGCCATGGTCCTCCAGCTCAGACCATACCTTGGAGGAAAAGAGGAAGGGGTCAGAGGGAATCTTCATACCTGCAGATACTTGGGCATCTGTGTGCCGTTGGCAGACTGAACTCAGAAATTCATTCACTTGGCGAAGGGAGAGAGCGTTGTGCAGAGTCTCCAGTGGGTAGATGGTGGGCACCATGGAACAACCTTCAAATCCTGCCAGGGTTAAGATTTGAAGGGAACAAAGTAAGCAAAAAAAAAGGCAGAAGACACCTAACCAGGACTCAAGGAAGCTGGGAAAGTGAGCCCCTAAGGCACCAGGATAGTGAGCTATCTCTCAAAAACTAGTACCACTGAGCCCCTAGAAAAGTGAGATTTCCAGAATTACTAGGAAAGGAAATTCTGTAGATCCCCTGTTTAAGGTTACCTTTCTTTCCTTCAGTCCCCCGGACAGTCTAGCCTCCCAAAAAACTTGCCTCTAAAGACCCACAATTGCCCTATTCAAGAAACCCTAATCTATAAATGCCAAATTTAGGAGGAGATTATACTTCTACTGGAGTCAACTCCTAAAGTCTTCTGGGAGAAAAAGATGTGAGTATAGAGCAAGATACTACAATATCTGACATGAGTTGAGGTCACAGGATTGGGAGAAAGTAGAGGATTCTAGAATGAAAAGGCAATGGGACTATGTGGAAGGTAATGTTCAGGGTCTTTAACAGCATATGAAGTTGGAGGTGGGAGGATGGGTGGAACATGCAGATTCAGGAAGTGGGTAGGGAAGGTGGAATCTTTAGAAGTTGAAAGAGCATGCAGTACACACAGAGTTCAGCCCAGCAAAACCACATGCATGAGCAGGCTGGAGGATGAGAGTTCTTCCTTGGTTAATTTCCGTCACATCAAAAATCTCTCCTTTGGGAGGCCTCAGCCCCTATGGACAGCAATTTGCCAATCAGAAGAATGGATCAGGTTCTCTCCAAGGAAAACCACTTTCTTACCCCCTTCCCAATAATTTCAGTGTTGGTCTCCACACTCACTGTCCAGGGTAGTGATAAGAACAAAGCTAAATACATTTGTGATTTTAACCTTGAGGGCTGATGTGGGGGAAAATCCCCGTCTTGGAAGACCAAGTATGCACCTGAAAAATTATTTAATATATTCCTTCCCATATGTCCTCTATATATCCCTAGGGGTAGTGGAGGAAGAATAGGACGAAAAGGCCCTTAATATTCCAATCTCCCATACCATAAACTGGACCAACTTTGTAGCTCAAAGGACTCTGTCCCCTCTTTGCAACTCTAGCATATCTTCTCCCTACCTCTGGCCCTGCCCTTATCCCAGGCCTTGCTAAGGAAACCAAGGAAGGCACTTTCCAACGACTCTGAGCCTCCCTATTTTTTCCCTACTGTGCAGCAGCAGTAGTGGTGGTGGTGTCTCTTTGACCTTGGGTAATGTGCTCTGGCTCCTCAGATAAAGGGAACAAGCAGCCAAAAGGGAATTTTCTTTTTTCAGTGAGGAGTCAGAGAGAGGAAAGTTTCTTTCCTTTCTAAAGTGGAGGATGGTAGTAGGGGGGAGAAGGAATTATGGTAACAGAGGGAAAGAAATTTCTCTATGTTGAATAGATTTGGGTGCCTGGGGAACAATGGTCTGAAGATCAGTTCTAGGAGCAACAACAGTAAGGAGAAGACAGAAAAGGAGGCAGTAAGAGGCAGCAGGGTTAGGGGGTGGGGAGAAAAAAGAGCAGCCAACGCTACAGTTACCAGACAGCCTGGCCCCAGCACCATCTAAGCTGGTCAATGCACCATCACGTAGCCTCAGGAAAGGTATAGGTAAATACGCGGGCTCTTCTGCTAGTATAGCAACAAGCAAAGCAGCCAGCTGAGTAGAGAGGGTACCGTAGAGGCACTCAGGATCATCCTGGCCTGAACGTAGCCAGTTCCGGAAGAGGCGAAGGTGGTAGGAGCACTGGTGCAGGTGATGCGCCAGCGTGGCATCCAGGGAGATGGGCCAGCCCCCTGGGCAGTCGGAGGAGAAACTGCGCAACAGCTGGACCACAGGGTGCTGGTCATCCAGCAGCTCTGCAGGACAGGGCCATAAAGGAAAGCACAGAAAGACAGAGAAACGAGGGAGAGTGAGGGGGGCACTGCTAACAGAAGCATAAGGAGGAGATGGGGTTGTGACCCCAATGTATGTGGGCTACCCAGCTCCAAACAAGAGCTAAAAGAGGAGAGAGGGACGATGCCACAACATATCTTCAGCAAGAAAAAAAAAAGGATGGACAGGAACGCAAAATGAAGGCTGAGGAGAAAGCAAAGACTTGAGGCCCCTGCCACACCAGCCTCCCCTAGGCCAGCTCTGTGCATTTTTTTTTTAAAGATGTCTGCAGACTTTGTTCTCAGCAGGGATGAGCTGGCAGCAACATCTCAGCTTAAGCACCCCTGATCTTGATCTCTGCTGGGCAGTATTAGAAAAGGGCTGCTCCCAAGATCAAGGGGTTCTTGAAGATAAGATGGAGGTGATGAGGACCAAAGGCACAAAAAGGGACAAGAATGGGACAGAGATGAGCATCATCAAGGTTGAAACTGAAACTTGAACTGTTTCCAAGCGCTCATGCCTGGCCTCTCTGAGCCACACTCCGGGAGGACCACAGCCAGGTCCAGAAGACTGGGCAAAAGGTCAGGTACAGGAATACTGACAAAGCATGTGGAACCCGGCCAATCATATTTCAATAAAGTCACTGTATACAAATACCAGTACCAACTGGCATTGTTGGTTATACGACATGATAACCCCAAACCACCCTATCCCCCAACCTGGTACCTGTAAGATTTGAAAAGCAGTTTGCAGAAGTCCCAGGAGTCACTGCAGAGAAAGGGAGTCGGCCAGCCCTGAATTCATGACATGAGCCACTTTGGACTGTTTTTCATTTTCTTCCTATGGCTATTAAGTCTGACTGCATTTTATTCAGCTAGTGGGTGGGAGAGTTTCAATTTAATTCCATTTATGTGCTGGATGAATATTGATTCTTTTTGATGAATTGCTCCTTGTTGATTGCTGATCTCTATAATGAAACTGCAAAGGACTGCAGATATGGAAAGGCCCAGAAGGAAGGTGCAGGGCAGGAGAAGGGACAGATTCTTAGACAGGATCACAGGTTTAGAGGGCCTGATACAAGGGGTGGGTAAAGACGGCTGGGTGGAGGCTGAGCATAGGGCCAGAGAGAGAAGCAAATGTGTGAGTTAAGCATTCATGGTCAGGTTTGAGACATTATATAGATGGGCTATAGGCACTATTAGAGCTCATACTTAGGATTCTCAGACAGTTTTGCTCCAGAGACCGATCCGAAGAACACTAACTGGCCTTCATCAGAAATCCCAGGAATTTTTCAGCACACACGGACAACAGCTTATAGCCATTTCACACAGTCCTGGTCTCTTCTTTCATGGTATCTTGGCTTCCTCAAATAGGTTCAGATTGTGGTCTGATAACCGACCATATGTATGGTCAAGTATACTCCAGTCCTGTGATGTGACTGTCCCCATAAGGGACAGAGAATTCAGGACTAAGATTGTCAGGAGTAGAGCTGGGCCACGTTCTGGCCTCACATTTTGGGGAGGAAAGAAAATAGCTCTGCCCTTCCTCCAAATCTAACTTTTCCAGGAATCACTTTGAAGTCAAGAATTCTGATGAGATGATGGATGGTGTTAGGCATACCCATATGTGTCGAATGTGCTGCCATGAGCAACAGAGACACATGTCACCTCTGTGATTATGCTATCAGCCATGCAAAGTCTTGACCTTACCAGAGCCTCAGGGATATCCTGGAGGCCAGGAGTAGAAACTAGACTGTCTATTCCAACATGGCAACTCCCGGCTTCCCTTACTGCTACCTAGCAGATGTTAAATCTAAGAGCTTCTTGGCCAATATAACTTCCAATTTAAGGAAAGAAGACCGGCGGGGGCCGTAAGAGCTCTGAGGAAACAGGCAGGGTTGGCAAATAAGCAAAAGAGAACATGGCAGCAGTCCTTTCCTGCTTGGTCCTTGAACTCTCTCCAACCCTGCCTTCTTTTCTGTGGGAGGGCTGCCACCTCAGACTTCAAGAAAGGAAACATCAGATACTAGACTTCATTTTCTGGATTTGGAGGGTTGTTTTGCCTATGGTTTCTAAGTTCCATACTCTGAAGCTGGGGCTCCTGGGGAGCTCCAGGAATACTGGGGACACTCTAGGAATATGGGTTCTAGGCTTTGCTCTAGAGATGACCATGATTCAGAAGACCTAGGAAAGTTCAGAATCAGCTCCCCTTCAGCTACATATGCTGGCCTGGCCTCCACACTCTGAATGGGAGCACTTCTGCCATAAATTCTCAGGGAGGCTGGAGCATGTTCTGACTGGGAAAGTGGGGGTTCTCGAGTCCAGAAAGAGAAGGCAACATGGCCTAGTGTAGGTGGCAAGACTGGAGAGAGAACAGACAGGGAGAACCTAACACAAAGGCCTGATTATGCCCAGGGTCACAGTGGCAGATGGCGTGGGATTAGATTGGAAGCAGGGGTCCAGAATCAAGAGATCCCTCCAGGTAGCTGGGCTTGACCCTGATTCCTTTGAAGGATCTTAGCCCTTGGGAAGAAAGAGGTTGTGGCTAGAAAACTATTTACTCTAAACACAGATCCCCAAGATAAAAACAAGTATACAAAGGATTAAACTCCACTGCTGAGATGCCACTCCCTTCCCAACCCCCTCCCATCCAGGGTCCCACAAAGAACTCACAGTTCAACAGTCCGTGGACTGGTGCCCCAAAGCCCTCCAGGTCAGGTACCTGCAGTCCTAGCTCTTCAACTCCCTTGGACACTCTGACTTAATCCCTCCACTTCCAGATTCTTTGGGGCAAGTTATGCCCTGGGTAAGCTTAGGTTGTACAGAATGGATGCGGATAAACTGAGGGGATAATACTGCTCTTTTTTACTCCTCTCAGTCTGATGCTGGAACTGACTCCCTTCTTTCCCCCTGCCTCTACCAGACAACCTTCACAAATCACTTTGGGTTTCTGCCTTCCAGGCCCAGATGCCAGGTTAGTAGCAACATGAAGCAGATGGCAAGAGCACAAGAACCACACAGCATACATACAATGGTAGGAGTAAGAAGATGGGAAGAAACTCTGTACCCCATGGACTGAAGGTGTGAAGAATGGGAATGAGTGGGGGATAGGGCACGGTCTCCAAACAGGAAGGAATTAGTCTTTTCTCCTATATACCAAAGGTAGAGAGGGCCATTAAAAGATCCAACTTGCATGAGCTACAAGGGAGAAGGAAAAGGGTGTGAGGGTTTAGGCATTACATAGTACTCTCCCTGAGGATGGGAATAATTTTTCATATCTATACAAGGCCCCAAATTGGGAATGTTGTGAGAGGGACTTAAACAGAGTTTTAATGGTGATGGTGACAAAGATGACAATGGGGGTAATGGTGATGGAAGGTAAGACTGAGACTAGTCAAGAAGATAGGAACAGTGTAGGGTGTACACAGCCAAAGTGGTCATGATCAGAACAAGAGAATATTCAGGCAGGGGACCCAGTGAGGGACACAGCAAGGTGTCAACACACAGAGAAAAAGGAGAGAGGTCAGTGCCAGGGGTCAGATGTAAGTATCTGAGTCAGTGAAGGTGACATGATGAGGTATGACATCAAGTCAGAAGCAAACGTACCGTTAGTCGGATGCTTTGCAAACGACACAGAAAATCGCTTTACAGCCGGGACAGACAAGAACTCTGAGGAGAGAAGACATCATGGGGATTATACCTGCATCTGTCCCTTCCCCCTACACTAGACTCTACCTGCAACACACCCTTTTAGTCCTCTACACCCAAAACTGACCTCTTCTCAACTTCCGTACAAACACTTCTCTGACAGTTACATAAATCCTTCCCCTCGCAAAATGTCTCCATGAGAAATCATATCCCATTCCTACCCTAAGTCTACTCCATATGTTCTCATCTTCACCACATCCTGGGTCGGCTTCTATCTGGAAATCAAGTCCCAGTAGGACTCTTGGGCCCTATCCCAGATGCTACCTCAACTGGATCTCTTGGGTTCCAGCCATAAATGTGTCACACCCCTCTCTACTACTTGTTATCCACCCATAATGTCTAGAGTGCAGGAAAGAAAGGGTACAAGGTAGAAGTAAAATGACTGCAATGCACTTGGACAGCTATGTGGAGTGAAATGTACCTAACATTAGCAGGGGACTATTTTTTTCACCCACACAATAGGGCTACTTCTGCTGCAATGTCATCTGGAAGACTAAATGGTTTCTTAGCCACAGGCTCATAAAGGAGATGAAGGGGAGATGGGGTGGGCTAAGGATAGGGACTGCTGCCCCCAACCCACATACCATCTCGATGCATCAGGCTGGCAGGTGGGAGTTTTTTGCCATGGCTGCGAGCGTAGTCCTGGAGATTCGGGGCACTGGATGAACCACCCAGCACTGTGGTGCTGAACAGCCCTGTGCACTGTGAGCCTGCAAAGCCGGAAGCATGTTAGCAGCCAAACAAAGCTGCAACCACTACACACTTAACAATAACAACAACATACACACACACACACACACACACACACACACACAGCGCAAGGCCATTCATAGCTGCCACACCACCACACATAGCCTTCACTGCCACATACTACTATATTTGGCAAGTTAATGAAGGAGAGGGGCCTTGTGCACAGGCCCGTGGCAAGGGGGAAAAGTTGCTACTCCATGCAGTTTAGTCATTTTAGGGGAGTCAAAGCTGCTTGAAGGGATAAGTTATACTTTGTCCTCCTTCAGATGATTCCCTAAAATGTCTGGGGAGAGAGCTTCTCCTGGATTCTCCATACCTATTTGATGCTCCCCCATCCTGAGAACAGAGCTTGAGGCACCCCAGGCCCTTAAGGGCAGAGGGAAGAACTTTGGGTGAAGCCAGAGACCAGATTCCAGGGTCTTAATGGTTCCCTTCCACTCTTCTCATAGATTTTCATTCCCTCTGCCTCCCCAACCAAGCATTCAGAGCCTTAAACTTTCTCCAAGAAAGGAATCATGGGACTCAAATAATTTCAGAGCTGTAAAGAACCTCGGAGATCACCATACACACCCTCCTTCTTTTACAAAAGAGAAAACTAAGACCTTGAAACTTTATGTTCACTTGGACAGGTCTCCTGACGGTTCAATTCCACCAACAAGCAAAAAGAATGTTTACTCCTTAAAATGGTGTAGAGCCCTCTACCCCTGTTTAAACTCGCACATTCCTCTTACCTCTTTCCCCCCAAAAAAACATTATAGGGCACTATAGTGAGCTCCACAGTCAATGAACACTGTATTGAATGCCTACTGTGTGAGAAATACCATTCTAGGCAATGGGATACAGAGGAAAAGATAACAAAAATAAAAGATATGATTACTGACCAAAAAAAGACTTACTATCAATCAACAACTATCTTTACCTAAATGCAGTACTGAAAGTCACATGTATACATGGTAGGGACACACATAGCCTTAGGGATTACATGATTTTAAAGCTGAAAGGACCTTAGACATTATCTAGGTCAACCATTTTATTTTATAAATGAGAACACTGAAGGTTAAAGAGGTGAAGTTAATTTCCCAAGATTAGAGAGTAAAAGTGGTAAAAGTGGCAGAGCCCAGGTCCTCAGGTTCCAAACTCATGACTCTTTCCTTCACAACACTTCTCTTCTAAGGGGGAATCTTCAGGGGTGAACTTCAGAATCATAAGGCCAAAACAGAGAAAAGATCTTGGTGAAGTCCATCAGGTACAGGATCCCCAAACAAAAGGAAAGATAAGAAGGGCCACTACCCCTAAGATCTGTCTGTCCCACAATGGAAACAAGATGCCCCTAGATGGACCTGTCTTATGCTCTGAACGGGTTTTTTGCCCTGCAAAATGACTTAGTGAGAGGATGAACTCAAGCTGCTGCCTAAGGTCCTATGACTGGCAGTTCCCATTATTACACTTTGTCAAGGCTCCTGATTTGCATTTACAAGAGAAATAATATCAGACCTGTTGGGGAGTCCTTGAGTATCCCTTGAGTCTATAGGGAGGGGACCAGGATCACAGGGGTAAAAGGTCTACCTAGATCAAGGAATGAAAGAAAGTAGTTCAGATGACAGATTCTGTTCTGGTCCTCAGAACCAACTTTTAAGGAGAACCTTTAAGTCAGCATTCTATTCCTGATATAATGATTTGTCCTCATCCCTCATATTTGAAACAGGCTCTAGGATGAAGGCTCTAAAAAGAGAAATGAAGAAAAATGGATCTGATCTCAACAATCTCTGCTCTTCCTCAAAACAAATTAGCTCCATTTCCAGGCCTCACCAGCTCTGCTCCCCCATTAGTCAGACCTACCCTATTGGTAGGAAAGACTTCAATCCTTTTCTGTTCAGCCTTGGGGTAATAATCTCTGGGGAGTTTTTTCTGGATCCCACAACTTCTACTGAAATCTAGTTTCCCTCTTCCTACTCTATCTGTGCAACTACCACCATTTAGCTGGTACTCCCATCTATTCTTCTGTGGGAGTGGTGTCCCTTCTAAGGCATTTGGGAAAAAGTGCCCCAAACCACAGATCTATATCCCACCTTTAAAAGAGATTTTAGATGCATCCTTCCCAGAAAAGGATGGTAGGGCAGTGAACAAATACCCTTATCTAGTGTTCTGATCAAGTTCTAACCTGTTTGAGGCCAGGGTGAATTCCATGGACAAAGACAGTGAGACCACAGATAAAGCTAGGCAAATGAGACTAAGTAGGATAATAAGAGGCACAGGAATCAGGAGACCAAGCTTAGAGTTCCCAAATATGTGTTCCTGGTGTCAACCTTAAGCCACTAGCCTGATACCCAGACACTGATATAAAGGAGATACTGAGTGGACAGGCATCTCCCTCCTACTGACCAACACGCCCTCCTCCCCACCTCCCAAACACCAAGATTCTTTCTAAGTATCCTTTGGTCCAAGGCATCTTTAACAGACATTCAACGTTTGCCTTCATCACCTCGCCCCCCACACTTACTGGAGATCTCCATATCAAAGAAGTACCACCCCCTTGCAATTTTATTTTTACATTTAGAAAGGAGAAGAAGGGAATGAGGAGAGGACAGAGGAAGAGGGCATGGGAGTTGGGAAAGAAAAAGCAGGATTAGGATTCAGGAAGATGGTCTTAGCTCTTCAAAGAAATTGTGGAAGAACTCTAGGATTCAGAGCTCTGTATCTGATGACTCTGGTGGCTCAGAGTCTCCTACTTCCCTTAAGGTCCAGTTTAGACTGGAAGGACTGAGGAAATCTAGGGAAAGAGAATGATGCAGACAATCAAAGGAGTGATTTTTTTACAGCTGGAAACCAGTCACCTGATTTCAAAGTTCACATCCAAAGTACACTTCCTCCCACTTCCATTTCCAGTTGGCAACAAAAAATTTAGGTATACCCAACTCCCAGGGTTGGGAATGGCTGCAGTCATAGAGCAGACCTCTCTACCCAACACAGAACAAAGGTTGGGAAACCATACCCAGGCCACTTTGTTTCATTTCTGTCGGGGGACGTGAAGACTGGAATAGACGGTAACTAGCAGGTCGTGAGGATGAAGTCTCAGACAGCACCTGTGGGAAAAGAATCATATGTTACCATCTCCCTACATAAGCCAGAAAACTAAAACCCAGGTCCTAAATCTCTGGTTCCCTGTAAAGTCAAGCAGTCAGTATCAGAAGAGCTAAAGGGCAAAAGGGCACTGATGGGAAGATGTGAGGGAAAGACAGGTATATAGAGAGAAGAGCTGCCCAGGCTCTCTTCCATAATGGAAACCATTTTGCTCCCTTTCCCCACAGCCCCTTCCATTCCAGATGAGAAACAATCATGCCTCCTACGCCATAGTCCTAGCACAGAAAGCTCCCTGTTTCCTATACACTCCTTCTTAGGGTTCAAAAGGTTTACAATAGCTCAATTATAAACAGAACACAATCTGGACGAATCCCCCCCCACCCCATCCCCTGGCCAAGTCTTTGTATTAATGACTCCTTTTTTCCATCTCTACTTGCACAGGGAAGGTAGAAAGTTCAGTTGCCCTACAACCATACCCTGTGCCCTCTTTCCTACCTTGTCTAAACCCTACCCTATTCTACCCTAGAAATTAAAAATGGATTTTCAAGTAGACCACACCTGATCATTTCCTCCAACCACCATGCCGTGCCCTACCTGGAAGATGTGCTAAGCCCCTAGATCCCAAGCATTAGAGACAGAAGATGGGAAAAGGAAAGGGGATGGGGAGGGGGACCTGTACACAGGATGCCAGGTGGGTGGTCAACATAGCCCTGGACTGTAGGCCAATGGCAGGGAGAGGTCAAGGGAGGTCTCTTGACCTCCACTGGCCATACCCAAAGGGTCAATTTGGTCAGCCTGCCTGCATGCTGCATACTTGTGACCTGCAAGCAAACCAGATAAAGAGCTGGTCACAGGGCTGCAGAAGGCCACCCCTCTACCTCCAGCTCCTACAAAGCAAAGCTAGTTAGAACTGGAGATACAGACTACTTGGATACATATGGTATCAGAGTCACACATTCCATAGCCTAATATACACATGAATATGGAGAAAAGGTAGAAGGCAAGTAGCAGAATGAGACAGGATTGATTAAATGACAAGGTTACATAAACAGAGAATAGAGAATGAGGTTAGACAACACACCGAGGTAGGCCAGGAAGATAGCAATCCTTCCCAGGCAGAAGGCTGGACTGGGGTTAGGGCAGAAGGATCCCTATAGGCTCATAATAAGGAAGTTAAATAATCAATAATCAAATGAAAGTGTTCAAACCCTCTAATGATAAAAGAAACACAAATTAAAACAACTCTGAGATGTCACCCTTCACCTATCAAATGGGCAAAGATGGTTAAATATGATAAAATTAAGTGCTGGCCCTCCTATGGAAAAACAGGCATGCTTTTACTGGTTCATGGCTGGTGGAGCTACGAATTGGTTTGATTCTTTTGTTAAGCAATAAGGCATTATATGAGAAGCAGTATGGTACAAAGGATAGAAAGCAGGCCCTGGAATGAGGAACACATGGGCTCAAATCCCTCTGACACATACTACCTGTATAATTATGGATCAATCTCTAACCTCTTAATACTCCAGGCAACAAATACTCTAGGTTAACAAGTAAATGGCTGACCTCATCAATGGAGAGGACATCCAAATCAGTGGTTCTCTACACTAATAAAATCACAGGTCAAGACCCCAAAAATGGCATTAAATAATACATCTATAAAACTGTTCACACCTTTTGGCCCCAGGACTCCATTACTAGGATTAGACCATGAAGCTGTTATTGACAGGATTTTTAAAAAGACCTGTACAAAAATATTCCAAGCAATGATATTTGTAATATATAAAAACTAGGGGAGAAAATTGTATCTGATAGACTTAACCCTTCTCATCAATACAAGGAACTAAGACATCTCCAAAGGCCTCACAATGGAAAGTGCTATCCATATCCAAAGAAAGAACCATGGAGTTTGAATGCAGATCGAAGCATACTATTTGCTATTTATTTTTCCTTCGGTTGCATTTTGTTTCCTCTTTCTGGTGGTTCCACCTATTGGTTCTAATTCTTACTTACAACATCACTAATGTGAAAATATGTTTAATAGGAATGTACATGTATAGCCTATATCAAGATTGTGCACTGTCTTGGCGGGGGGAAGGAGGGGGAGAAAAATTTAAAAACTCAAAAGCTTATGGAAGTGATTGTTGATAAAACAAAATAAATTAATTAAAAATTCTGTATCTGATTAGAGAATGGCTGAACGAACTGTAGTATAAGAATGTAAGGGAATACTACTATGCCATAAGAAATGACAACTACGATGAAGACCAAGAATTCAGAGAGGCAAGAAAGACTTATATATGCTTAAAAAGAGTGAAGTAAGTAGAACCAGGAAAACAATATACATCATGACAACAATGTAAATAGAAAGGACGACAACACGACAAAAATCTCTGCTATACAATTATATTATAATAACGTTCAAAAAAGTTTAGAAAATGTACTTCCTTAGGGGCAGCTAGGTGGCGCAGTGGATACAACACCGGCCCTGAAGTCAGGAGGATCTGAGTTCAAATCCAGCCTCAGACCAAACACTTGACACTTACTAGCTGTGTGACCCTGGGCAAGTCACTTAACCCCAACCGCCTAAAAAAAAAAAATTGTACTTCCTTCCCTTCATTGCAGAAGGTACAAAATTATGTCATGTCTGTCAGATACAGTTGATATATTATTTAGGTTTTTTCTGGACTGAGTTTTTTTCTCTTTGTTTTTTAAATCTTTGCTACTAATAATGGCTAGCTGGTGGCACAGTGGATAGTGTTGGGCCTGAGTTCAAAAACTATTTCCAAAAAAAAAAAAGTTATTTCAGACATACTACCTGTGTGACTATGGGCAAGTCACTTAACCTCTGTTTGCCTCAGTTTCCTCAACTATAAAATAGGGATAATAGCAGCAACTACCTCACATAGTTGTTGTGAGGATCAAATGAGATAACATATGTAAAAAAGTGCTTAGAACAGTGCCTGGCAAATAGAAAGCACTATATAAATTTCCCCTTAAGGAAAAAAGGGAGAGGGGATATATTTGGAAATGTGGTGTAAAAATAAAACATATCAATAAAAATAATGACTTTTCAAAAAATAAAAAATATGAAGAACATAAACAAATATACAAAGACTTATATGAAAGAATAGAGAGTGAAAAAAGCAGATCCCAAAAAGCAATATACACATTGACTTCAACTTTGGAAATAGTAACAGAAGCACCAACAAAATCTGGATAAATACAAATAAATAAAGAAGTTTAAAAGGGCAAATGAAAACCAATAGGAGAATTTTGTTAGTACTTTGTTAAAATTAAAATGTTTTAAAAACAAATTACAAGTAACAAGTTTATACTTTCATGTTTAATCAATTACAATCTTTTATTCTCATATATTTTACTATTTGTGTTTATCTAGGAATATTAAGAGTACTTTTTTTTAAAGCTAGTTTCCAGGAGTAGAAAAACCAAGGACATTGAAGTTCTCATCGGTCCTGTGTCACCTGCCTGAACAATACCTAAGAAGCATCAGACACCAGAGGGCTGGTGGAAATGTTGATCAGCAAAGCAGTGAGTGTATTCTGATGCTAGAGTCTTCTGTCTCTGTACAGCTTTTATTTTGTGATATGCATTTGTGAGGATTTCAGCAGGTTCTGAATTACAACAAAGAGGAAAAAAAATGTAGCACTAGCTTTATTTTGCCTGAAGAAGTATACCTAATATACACAACTTTAAACTCTTGTTAAGGCGCAACTAGGTGGCACAGTGAATAGAGCACCAATTCTGAAGTCAGGAGGACCTGAGTTCAAATCCAGCCTCAGACCAAACACTTGACACTTACTAGCTGTGTGACCCTGGGCAAGTCACTTAACCCCAATTGCCTAAAAAAAAAAACCTAAAAATAAATAAATAAAATAAAATAAAAAATAAACTCTTGTTAAAATAATCATGAAGTATTGAAATGTTTCATGTAAAAGTTTATACAAACAAGGAGGAAGGGGAGAATGAATGATACTTGAACTTCACTTTCATTTGAACTGGTCAAAGGAGGGAAGAATATACATACACAAACACACACACACAGAGTGGGTACAGAAATACATTTCACTCAATGGAGGGCAAGAGGGAACTGAAGGGCAAATTAAGGAAAGGATCAGTCCTAAGCAAAACAAACTCTAAAGATATACAAAAATATTTGTAGCTCTTTTTGAGAAGGCAAAGAACTGGCATCTGGGGAGAATAGCTATACAAGTTATGATAAATGAATATGATGAAATGCTATTATGTTATAGGAAAAGATGAAATGGATGGTTTTAGAAAAACCTCGGTAGTCGTATAAATTGATGTAGAGTGAAGTTACAGAACCAGGAGAAGGATAACAACATCGTAAAGACAAACAATTTTGAAAGACTTAGAAATTTTATCAGCATAACGACCACCCATGATGCTAAAGGACTAATAATGAAACATGATACTCACCTCCTCATAGAGGTGAAAGACTCAGTGTGCAGAATGAGACGTGTATGTATGTGTACTTGTGTGTATTTTTTTTTTCCTTTTGGACATGACCAATATGGAAATTTGCTTTGATTGACAACACATATTTGTAACAGAAATTTTGTTTTCCTTTCCTTCTCGGTGGGGGGAAGGGGTATGTGGGATAGGAGGGAGAGAAGGCAGATTTTTGCTGACTGAAAAAAAAATTTAATCTAAAAAAAGATAACAAAGAAACAAGGGATGATTCTAAGGAAAAGGTAGCATCTATATTGGCTCTTTAGTCAGACCTTTAAATCATGAAATGACTATGAAAGCCAGTTTCAAGTTATCCTGAGAGATCTTCATAGAGTCCTGAGGACCAGGAAAAAGAGAGAAAGATGCCACAAAACTGAACAAAGAACAAAATATTCCAGAGCAGAAAACAGTACGAAAAAGCCTCTGAAACCAAAATTAATAAAGAGAACTAAAAAGACTGACATCTGGACAAAGATTTTTGTGAAGGTCATATAGGAATGGAAAGTATTGGTTTTCAGCCTCCTAATTTTTAAGAAGTTGCTTTTCTTCATACTGCCCAGGTGTCTTCTCAATACTCCTAACTTCTCCATTACCACTCTTGCCCCTCCATCACTGGGATTTCTCTAGCTTCAAACCACTTGATCTGGAAGTGCTCTAGAAACAAGGGGACATCCTGTGGAATCAGGAACCTAATACTCTGTTAACAGGGGGTGAGGGACTGAGCTCCCAAAGTCACTGAGTATGAGGGGTGGGAGGGGCAGTGATTGAGAACACATGGATAGTGTCCAACGTGTCCCCTTCCCATCCTTTCTCCCCTCCTTTCTCCATTACCTCCATAGAGCCAGCTTTACGATTGCGGATGAGTGGGGATCTTCTTGGGAGACCAGGGATCTCAGGTGGCTGGGGAGATGTCTGTGATACCCGATCTGGCTCATCTCGACCCTTCCTCCGGCACAGGTCTTCCATACTGCCTTTGTCTGTCTGCAGCTCCTCAGTCTGCATCATGTGTTAGAGAAGAAGGGGTGACTGCCTTCTCTGTAACCAGCCCCTTCACTCCCTGCCACCCACTCCCTGGACCCCTATCTCCCAGGTTCTGAGACCCAGATTCCAGCAACCTTTCCCACCTGGGAAGAAGCTGGGCGGAAGCCACAGCCGGTGGGAGCGTTGCCATCCTCTTCGACACCTTTCACTCCAGGGCTGAAGTGCAGCTCCACATGGAATCGCTTCTCTGACGATGGATCCTAGGGGATACCACCAGATGAGAGGATTTCAAAGGATGGGATGTTAAGAAACAGGGTGATGATGATGACAAGGAGTTACAAGAAGAAAGGTACCTATTCTCAGGCTTCCATGTCCTGCCTCCTTCTTCAGTACCACATTCCTGTGAATCTCTTCTACTGCAATCTCTAGGGTTAAGGAACCCTCACTTCCCTACCCCTGTGGTCCCCTGTACATGTAACTTGATTAAATATAAATGTTATTCTTCTACCTCCCATAGAAATTTGCTCATTACATAATGCACTTAAAGAAACACTTCTGAAGCTTAGAGAGAAGGGTGACTTACCTCGATCTTGCTCTCATCTCACCCTAACTCTAGGTCCAGTGGCTGGGTTCCACGTTGTTCCTTCTGGCACTACTTATTCCCATAATTTTTCTGTTTACCAAGAAGCTCCTAACTAGCCTAGCTGATGCAGTACTCTGTAATCCAAATGATTTCCCACATTGTGGTCCACAAATCATGGGGATGGGCAAGGACTTCCTTCTCCGAGCAATGGCTGGGAGCAGAGAGGGTAGATCTTAACCCTGATCCTACCCTGACATCTCCTCACCTGGGTGTTGTCTTCATATAACATGATGACAATCTGAGTCATGTAGTTGAGCTCGGAGATGGCGCTGAGATAAGCCAGAGCCCTCTGCCACTGTGCATCCTGAGATTCCTACCAAATGGGAGGAAAAGCATCTTAGGGCTTGAGATAAGAGAGGTCAGAGAATGAACGGGGTGGTGGGCCTGAGGTTGGGACTGGGGGAGGGCCAAGAAACACAAAGAAAGGCTTGCTTGGAGACCAAGGAGAACTAAAGAAAGGAGCTTCCCAGGAGGACAGGCAGGTGGAAACAGAGGGTCCTTACATCAAGAAGCCCTCCATAGCGGAAGACACTGAGCAGGGAATGGACGTGGCTCTCACTGGTGAAGTAGAGACGGGTGCGGACATGGCGACCTGGGGAGAGCACTCCTCTGGAGTACCTGAGAAAGTTGCCTTGTCATTCATAAGTCTATAGTCATAACACCACCCCTCCACCATCTCTTTCTTTCATCCCTAAAGAGGACTTCTCCCTCATATTCAGTAGTCCTCCTGTGGCCAAGCCTCTCTAACTGTTCCAGTTCTGACCTCCCCAAGAGCCCTTTACATGCCCTATCCCCATTCAATACCCCCTTAACCCTCCCTCACAGGGGGTGCAGCTTGTTGACAGATTCATCCTCATGGGTTCGCTGTAGGTCAAGCTGAATCTTCCTCAGCAATGGGAGACAAAAGCCCACAGCAATCTCCAGTTTCTCCTCCCGGCTGATCCCATACTCCTAGAGAACCAGAGGCTAAGTAAGCACTCAGTGGAGCCTGTGTTCCTTTTGCCTCTGCCTACTCCCACTGCCCCCCCAAACCTGACACTATCCTCTTGTCTTTCTATCATTCCCAGGTCTCTCTTCAAACCCACTATTACTCCCACTCCACGTGTTACCAGGATTCTCTACTTAGGTCAGTGACCTTTGCTCTTACTCACAGTCCAAGGGCACCTATCAAGCGTAGTTGGTCATCAGAAGAGAGTTAGAGCAGTTCAACTAATCCCACTCTGCCTCTATGCTTCCTGTCTCCTGCCCTTCCAGACTCCAGCCATGAACCATTTCCAAAACCAACCTGAGGAATGACCACATCGGCCAGTGCCTTGGAGAGTCGTAGCAGTTCTGCTGTCCCCTGAAGCCCCAGGCTCCCATTGTGCTGCACATCATACTTGACACAATCGTAGATGTCAGGGATTTTGCTGATATCAAAGCGTCCATTTTTTTGCCTAAAGTCACGTTCCAGCTTGCTCCAGCGCTGCAGCATCAACTCCAGAGTCTCACTGTGGTACAACTGTAGGTCTGAAGGTAACAGGGAAAAGTCATATTAGGCAGAGCCCTAACATGAGTTAAGGACCACTATCACTATCCTAGAGAGGAAACAGATTCCAAATATGCAGGGTCTGAGAGGGAAGATAAGGATCCCCCCCAGTCACCCAGAGGAAGAGACAATAGAACCTTGATAATACCCTGGGGGAGAGATGGCAGTGCTCTTACCCACCTGTCAACTTGGGGTCCTGCAGCCGTTGCCGGATCTGGTGAGTGAGGTTCTCAATCAGGGCAAATACCTGGTTACAGATCTCCACAGGATTCTGAATTATGGCCATTGAGTTGAGCAAGGAGAGACTGCCAGTAGGGGCCAACTGGGAGAAACAAAGAGAGAAAGAATATCATAAGCTCAGGGCCCCTCACCAGATCCCTGGATCTGGATAATCACAAAGCAAATGCATGCTAGCTCCCTATGATGAACACGTTATATCTATTAATGTCTATAGATAACTTGTATCTAGAGACACTAGCCTGAGTTCTCCATCACCTGAGACAATTCTGGACAGTAAAGGGGGCAGGGGATGAAGGGAAGGGCCTTAGGTCAGCATAAGTGAAGAAGGATTTGTCAGTGAAGTCGACTGTTCTTGGTCATGTAAATGAGCCCTACAAGGGTATGGAGATAATTCACACAACCTAGAATCTTACATGTCCACCTTATAATAAGTGGTAGAGGATGGAAAAAGAGATAAAGGGTCAACTCCATCCAACTGGGTACTTAGCAAGGTGCAGAGAAGTGGGTGGGGCCTCATTACATCCTGACCAAGAGAAGAGGAAGTGGAGTCACTGATCCCTCCTTACACCAACCCAGAAAAAGTATCCAGCTATCCAGTCCATTCAAGTTCCCCAAAGAATGACAAAAACAGGAATAGTAAGGGGAAATGGAGAGATGTTGTTAAACCTCAATTTGGCAAATGGTCTCCTTCTTACCAAGGCCTACGCTAACCCTGGAAATCAGATTGTCTCAGGGAAAGAGTGACTCTAAACTAACCCTGAATTTCAGAATGAAACTCAGATAGGAAACTCCTTTAAGAGGCTGGGTTTAGAATAGCTCCTTACACGTAACACCAAGGCAAAGCAGGTCTCCTGCCTTGGTTCCAATCTATAACACAAATGTAATCTGAGTCCACCAGAATGGGTTCCATTTCAAGACCCTGAGGCATCCACGCAGGGCCACTGGGGAAGGGGAAGCAGTGCCTTAAGGAATCCCGAGGATTCCACAAATACCCAAAGATGAGGAGAGGACACCTAACCATCTAAAGGCAGTTACTGTGTGATTAGCAGAAAGGGGTGTGCACAGTACTATTTATGGGATCCAGAATGAGATATTTGAAGTGAAGGGCACAAAGAAGCTCAGACCTGCTCATAGTCTCCAGGGCCAAAGGGTGTATCCTGTTGTAGAATGTGATGTAGTCGTGCCTTCACACGGTGTTGGCAGCTGCTCAATGAGTCACCATCACTGTCCAGAAGCCCATTCATGTTGGCACTCTTCACCATTTGCACCAGGATGGGTGTCAGCTCCCCCTCCAGTGCCAGTAATCCCTATGACAGGAGCCATGGGGAGTGGGGACGTTGTTAATCCCCTTTCTGGGCCAGCAGCCCTGGTGGTGGAGGGGTGGAATGGGCCTAAGGGGCTATGGAGAAGACACAGAGCTGGCTTGGTGGGGGCAGGGGTGCCCCTACCTCCCACCTCCTATTCCCAGAAGAGCAGAAAGGGGTCAGATACAGTCATCCAGCCACCAACCTATCCTTTTGAGATGAGCACCCAAAATCCCTGCATTGCATTAACCCTCCATCTAAATTAGCAGCTTTTCCAACTGCCAATGTCCATGAATTTGGGGTTAGGGTGGACACCTTGGCAAAGGCTGCAGCCGTCATCTGTACACGACCCTCATCTGAAGCATAGATCTTGAGGTCATGGCGGTAAGTGCTATGGAGACGTAGAAGCCCACAACCAGGGAAGCCAGCATAGTCCCCTGGGAGTGAAGAGGACCACAAACAGACACCTGTCAGGATCCTAGGGCAGGGAAGAAGGAATTTATTTCTCCCCTACTTCAACTTTTCCTTGCCATAGTGATTTTTTTCCTTTATTCCCCCACTCACCCCATATTTATCTTGTTCCAAACCCATAATACATTTACTCCTCAACACACTCACCCTGGCCCCCTGGGTACATGCAGCGGAAAGCTCGTCCCAGCTCCTCAGCCTGGACCCGGCCATCAGGAGTCAGCTCCCCACCCCACTTTAACACCAGCAGCAGAGATGGGGCCAGGGTCTCCCGCTGTTGATCTAAGGATAGTAGAAAGCTGTGAATTGGGCCTGGGTAACATTCTGAGAACATCTACGCAGTACAGAGTGGAGGTCTGGATGTTATCCTCAACAATTCTGAAAGGGAAGAAGCTGGGGGATGAAACTAGAAAAGCAGGAAGAAGGTAGGGCAAAGAATGGGTGTTCTATAGGTCTAGGGGGCTAGAGATTCAGAGAGCTAGAGTGAGTTGTGTATCTCACCTTGCTCCTCATTAGAGACCCTGGTTCCATGGGGGTAGTAAGTCAGCTGTACCTTTCTATTGATGCCTGAGAAATGACCATACCTGCCAAGAACAGAGTCCACTGTCCATTCCAACCCCAAGACACAGACTCCATGGTTGACAGCCCATATTAGGCTCCCTTATTCTCACCCCACTCCTTACATCTCCAACACAGTCTTTAGCTGCTCCAGCTTTCCTGTTTTCTCTTCAATCTCACCACCAGGGTCCTTCTCCAGTTCTCCCAACAACAGCCGAGTGATGTCCAGCACCTCCTGAGGAGAGGGGAATAATGGGATGTATTCACAACTCTTGACCAGTCATCTATCTTAGGATCACTTTACATTTTTCCCAGACAGATTTCCCAAACTCATATCCTTTCCTCCTACAGTGACTGTTCTCCCCAATCAGGTTACCCACCTGCAGCTGCTCTGGCCTTTTCAGTTTCAGTTTCCCAGTTTTGTAGCCACCATGTTTCTCAAACAGTGCAAAAAACCTGGGTAGGAGGGGGTGAAGGAAAACACAAGTGGGAGAGTCAAGAACTGTGAGAGCAATTTACTTCTTCATTCAGTATATGGACCCTCTCCTTACCTGGGGTGTGTAACTTCCATCTTCATTTTCTGTTTGGGAGTACGGTCCCCATGACGGATGATGGCAATGACACAACGGAGTTCCATCCTGGGAAGAAGGCATATGTTAGAGCAACCTTAGTCAGCAAACCTTTTCATGAGTGCCTTAGACGGAAAAGAGTACTATCTGAAATAAGGAAAGGGGGTGTGCCTAAGAAAACTTGATGAAAGGGATCCCCTTGTCAGTCTAGGGAGAGGTGGTAGGTGCTTATCAGTCAGTCCTGGGAAGCCCAAGCCCCAGATATCTCTGTGGGTAAATAACTACTGCCTCTGGGACAGCTAGGTGGCGCACCAGCCGTGGAGTCAGGAGGATCTGAGTTCAAATCTGGCTTCAGACACGTGACACTTACTAGCTGTGTGACCCTGGACAAGTCACTTAACCCCACTGACTAGTCAAAAAAAAAATTAACTACAGCTTCACTCTCTCTTACATGGTGCCAGATGTGGTAGGGACAATGGGAATGTCTTCAGCTTCTGTGGGAATGGACCATGGAATCTGAAACTGGGGGGCAAGCTCCCGCATTATGGTATTCCTAGAAAGAAGAAGACATAGAAAAATAATAGAATAATCTTCCTCGTAATGGTTAAAAAAAAAAAAAACTGCAAAAGAGAAGACCTCTGTTAAACAGGAAAAAAAGGATAACCTCATTCCTAGACTGGCTTCCCCTCACCCAAACCAATGTCTCCCATACCATACCCCAAGATCTTGGCACAGTCGTCATAGTATTTCATTGAGTTCTTGACAAAGCTGAAGCCATTGACATCGCAGACAAAAGAGTGACCATTGGCACGGAGAAGGTCAAACCCACAGACCGTTTGCTGTGGGACAGAAAGTGAAGGATAAAACCAGGTTGGAGAAATAATTTCTTCCCAAATTCCTCATGCCTTTTCCTCTTCCCCACCATCCCATTTATCCTATATTTCCCCTCACCAAAAGCACCATCCCACCAACTTGGATCTTCCTCTACCTTGAAAGCAACACAGACTTTCCTGGCCACTAGCTTCTCCATGGCAGTCAGCATGACTGGGTATCGAATCTCCTTCCCTTCACTGTCCCTTTCCACCTTTCCATCTAATGCTGGAGACTTTCGGGCTTCAGCATGGGCATAATCTGGCCCCACTGTATACACCTACAAAAATATATCATTCCTGAGAGAATCCATGTCACACAGTTCCCTCAGGCCAATCACGACACATATACTTGAAGAGATTATGGAAAATAAATCATTTTAAAAGGAGAGATTTTGGGCATTATGTTTAGGCTTGTTTAGAATAAAGATCCTGGGCCTGAGAAAATCAACATTCATCCAACTAAGACTATAGAAGCATAAGTATGAAGACTGCTCCACCAGTACCCCAAATTTATCCTCCATTTTCTATTTAAACCCCCCCCCACCGCAGTATATCAAATGCCTTCATAGCCCTACTTTACAAATGTCATAAATGTTTCAAATCCAATATCTCTACTCCTTACCGTGTAATTTCAGTACATTACCAAATCCACACTCAGCTTTTACCTTGTATGCCCCCTCCTTATACTTCCAAACTCCCCCACCCCCCACAATAACATCTTAACTGTGTGACTTTGGACAATTCATTTAAATTCTCAAAGCCTCATTTTCCCCATATATAAAGAAAAGGAAATGGATCTCTAAAATGAGAGGACCGAACTACATGACCTCCAAGGTCCCTTCTGCCTCTAAAATGGTATGATTTGTGTAACCTGTATACCCACACCCCCTTCCCTTCCCTGAAACCTTGACATCAGTGCCATCTGTGGGCATGAATTCCTCATAAATGTAAGATCCAGTCTTTCGGACACTGCTCTCAGGGGAGTACACACTGCTTCGGCTGCCAATCTACAAAATGGAGAGAGATTAAAAAACATGTGAGTCCATCCTCCCTCGCCATTTTGTTCCTGAATCCTTCAGCTTTTACCCCACAACTCCATCCCTATCCTTCCATCTCTCTGCCCCTCCCCATATCCCTGACTGCCCCCACACCTTACGAAAGAGGCGCTGGCTCCCCCCACCAGCTGTGCTGGGATAGTAGATGTAGACGTTGTGATCCTCAGCACTCACTGGCTTCTCCACAAATGGTTTGGGAAACACAGCTCCATTCACCTCCACCTGGTCCTCACCCTCTATCAGGTTGCACTCTGAGAGGTAGAATATGGTCAGTTCTGGGGGCCTTGGGCACACCTCTTCTACCACTGGAATCCCCCAGCGCCTCAGTCTCTGTAACCTTCAAATTCACAAGCCTTGCATCCTAGGAACCACCCCAGAAGACCTATCCCAAGATTCCTAACCCTCCCATCTACACAACAACCAAAGCCCTACTTAGATGGTAATAGCAGAAAATCTGAAGGACACTGAACTAGGTTGAAGCCCAGGGGGCTGGGCAAAGGATAGGGCTGGATACTCACCGTCTGGCCGGGCAGGGTCACGATTAAGCACAGCATATCGAGGCAGATCAATGCCCTCCTCTTGCAGGATTCGGTATACTTCCCGCCTGCAACCCCAAAACTATTAGCTAGAGGAAGCCTGAGGGGAAGGGTGGGGGTGGGGTGAAGATGAGGGTATCAGGATCAGTGTGAGAGACAACCAAGTTTCTGGTTTTGTCCTTCCCCTAAATGGGCTCCCCAAATACTGGAGGCTAAGTCTGTGGGCAAGAATGAAGGGAGACTCAGTCCCACATATTTAACTGGCCAGTAGGAAGCCATACCTGTCCTGGATATAATACTGCATTGTCAGATCATTGATGAGGAAGGGATTTCGAAGCTTGGCATAAGCAACAGCTTTGTCCAGGGGGAAGCCTAGCAGAAAGAAAGAATCCAAGACATAAACATCATAAAAATGAGAATTGTCAGTTTCCACTGAACTCTTCAACATACTAACCCGCCACTACCCCTCACTCATTTCCCAAACATCTAAAAGATCCCTTGGAATTATTTCCAAGATCCCAGACCTTCTGATGGTTGCAAAAGCTGTGGAACTGTCCTAAGATCTGGAGTGTATAGCCCCTGCACCCAAAGATGGCATTTGTTTTTTCAAATGTGTCAAGAGGAAGGAATAAGCAGCCCCATTCACTGTTACTCTCCCAATGAGATGAAATGGTGAAGGACAAATCTAAACTCCTAAGCCCCACAATTCCCAATCCCATTCTACTCTCTTTTCTCCCCGAGGTCCTCACCTTTGGAGTGGAAAGAGATGAGGCAGTGGCAAGATGGCCAGTTCTCCACAGGCTCATTAAGGATAACATCCTCACCCAGAATAATCACAGTTAGGTAGTCAAAGCGGCATAGTCGTTCTAGGATCTGGGTCATTGGCTTGGACTTGGACTTCTTGGTCATGGCACAAATGCCAACAATAATCTGCCGTTCAAGGGGCTAGAGTGCGGAAGATGTCGTCAGAAAGCTTCCATACAAGGTAACAGGACTTCCAAGGGACACAAAGCCTCCCCTTTTGCCAGGACATTGGATTCCCCTATATACAAGCTACAGGATACAGTCAAACAGTACTCCTATTCATAGGCATACCCCTCCTCCCACCCCAAGACAAATTTAGGAACTCCTGCTACCCATGGAATAATGTCTTCTCCATAGGAGCGCAACAGGGTAATTTTGTGACCAGGCATCAGGTTCCCCAGATGGCTACCAACCCCTCAGATTCTAATGAGTTCACTGAAGCAAAGGTTCTACAAATGAAGTAGTTTGTTTTATTACTCTGCCATCTCTTACATCAGAAAAGAGCCAGGTGCCAATAGAAGGCAAGTAGATCAGGCCTTTCTAGAGGGTGGAGAAGTGGCCACCACTGAATACTGCTCTTAGTAATAGTGGCTTCACCATTATACCTTTTATACCTCATGTACTCACCACTTCATCTTCTTCATCTTCAAGAAGCTCACTCTCACTCTCTTCCACACTCATGCCTGCTCCCTGGGTGCCCAGCCCCTCATCCCCAGCTCCAACAAAGAAGCGGGGTGTGGCACTCTCAATCTCACTGGCCGTCAGCGACCACATTCCCACCAGGAGACCCACTCATCCCGATCTGCAGAAGACAGCACTCCATCAGCCCCAATGATGGATGGAGGATATAGAATATAGCCAATACAGAATATTGCAGAGAGAACCACATGGAGCACGAGGGGAAGCAGGGAAACTAGACTGAAGAGATTACACTGAGACTATAGTGAATCAGTAGGTGCAAAATGATGAGAAGTAGGGAAGAAAGAAGGAAGATGCCAGGTGAAAGAAATGGAAACACTTAAAGGTCAGAAAAGTGGACAAAAGGGAACAGCCAAAGGTTATCCAGGAATGAAACTATTTCCAGAGTCAGGGAGTTAACCCTTAGGAGGCTGACATTTCCTCAGTTCTTCCAGTGGAAAAGAGTCTTCAGCAAAAAGTGGGAGGAGCAGCTCCTCATAAGAAGGGCTATGGGGGGAGGGGTTCTTTGCTGAGAGAGAGGGCTGACACTGACATTCTAGACTTAGAATTTAATTTGGAATTTTCTTAGTCCTCTCTCATTCTCCTCACAGTGCTAAGCTTGGGGATCCTAACAAAAGTTGAATGATGCCAGTTGTCATTGCCTGAGATAATTATCCTCAATTCAACCCAGAAGTATACTGCAGTGTCAACTGCCCCAAAGCCTCTCACAACCTAGCCTCCATCTAACCCACAGTTTTTCCAACTCAAAGACATGTACAAAAGACTAGATGTCAAAACAAAGACCATAAAACTATTAGGAAGATTGGACTAAAGGAAGTCACATTTCTACCAATATACTATCAGACTGAGAGCTGAGTGCTCCACAAACATTTCTCTCATCAAGGATCCTAAGCTTCAGGTATCACAGGACAGGATTCTACCTTGGACAACAGCAAGCAAAAACTCTCAAAAATAACCACTTGAAAGTTCTACATAATGACATAATGGAAAAGAATACCAAACTTAGGATCAGAAGACCTGGGTTCAAATCCAGACTCTGCCACTTTCTAATGTGACCCTAAGCAAGCCACTTATTTCATCTGAGACTCAGTTTCTTCATTGCAAAATAAGAATACTCCTACTTGCACTCCCTGTCCCACAGGGTTATCATAAATAAAGAGCTTTGGAAAATACTATATAAGTGTTTACTTTAGCTTGGGAAAAAAGGTATGTATTTAAATTCATCCAACCTTTTAAAAATATTCTTCAGTCATTTGTTTTGATTTTATACCTTCCCAGTATAGGTGGTATTTTCTCTAATGATGTAATTATAACTACTTGTTCCCACAGAGACCTCTATCTTTTCAGTCTTCCATGTCCTTTTCCTATCCCCCAATCATTATTCAAGGAACTGCATTTTCCTTGGTCCCTTTCTAGGCCTTAAAAACATTTTCCTTTTTACTTCTGTGTATCTTGTAGAATGCCTCTGTGCCTATATCATTTTGTTATGACTGTGGACTCAATGACCTGGCCTGATTTTCATGCCTTACAAGCACTCCCAAGTCTCTGTACAGTTCTGAGTTTAAGCAGCTTAGATTTTTTTCTGTCCTCCCTATTCTTCCTCTGCAACAGACTTTCCTCTCATGTTTAGGATTCTTCTGATCCTGTGCACTTCCACCCATGGAGTTCCTTCTGGTTTTGCTCTAAGTTCACAACAGTTGTCTTCTTCACTTCACATTTCACCCCAATAACAGACAATGGCTGTTGGGTTAAAGTATTCAGAATAAGAAGCTCCATAAACATCAATAAGGCTGGGTTTGCTATTGATAAGGCTTGTGTGAGGGGATAAGCATACACCTTGATTATGTCAGGGTTTACTTAACAAATGAGAAAAGGTTTTTTATAACCATGGTTAAAGAAGAGTTGATGGGTATTAACTCTCAAACAGCTAGCCCAAAGAGAAGCCTGAGAAGAACAGGCAAAGAAGAGGACCCCTTACACTCTCAAATGTGTCTGTAAAAAGCAAGATGCTCTTATTTAAGGTATAGAAAAAGGGTAAACAAGGTAACAAAACCAGGTAAATGACAGGTGGAGTCATTATTAATTAAGGGAAACGACTTCTTAAGATCAGGAAAGAATTACCACAGGCTAGTGCTCTGAAATTTTAGAGCAAGGGTTCTTAATCTGGTCCATGGATAGATTTCAGGAGGTATGCAAACTTGGATAGGAAAAGTAACAAATTTGTATTCAACTAACATCTAATTGAAGTTTAGCATTTCTTTCGATTATGAATGTAAGCAAACTTTATTCTGAGGAGTTCACAGGTTTCACCAGACTGTCAAAAATCGGTCCATGATACAAAAAAAAAGGTTAAGAACCCTTGCCTTAGATGACATCAAGAAGGGTAGAAGAGAAAATGTCCACAGCAATGATATGCCTAGGCTTACTACGAAGGAGGCTTGTGTGAGAGAACAGGCATATACTTTGATTACAGTAAGACTTACTTCTATGTATCTTTTCAAGAAGCTGGGGTCAGTTTCCATTCTCTCCCTCCTCCTCCCCCCAATATATAATGGTAACAAAGACTAGATCCTCAGATTCTGCTCTAAGCTAAATGGTAGCCACTATGGACTGAATCAACAGAGAAAAAGGAAAGCAGTCTCCTCTCTAGGGACTTCTGCTTTGGATCAGGAATGGAGGGGGGGAAGAGCAGAGGGTGAAGCAGCAGGAAAAAACCTTGAGATGAAGGCAAAACTGGGGCAAGGCGAAGCAAAGTTACAAATATATTGAGGATCACAACGAAGGGTACTTTTAATATTGATTTTTATAAATGCACACATTTTTTTTTGCCAGAAAGTTCCATTCTCCATGGTACACAAGTATTTATTTTGTGATAAGATGCATTGCTACAAGGAAGGTTCAAAGCCTCCCATTGAAAGTGGGAGTAGGAGGAAGGAGGGTTTGGGAAGGAAAGGGAGTACGGGGGTAGGGGAGAGTGATAGAAGGAAGGGAGGTAGTGGGGGGGGTCGAGGGGAGTAGAATGGAAAGGCTAACAAAGGGCAGAGGGAATGCAACGGGGTGGGGGGGTTTAGTCAAGATGAGGGAAGCAACATTTTCAAAACCTTGCCTAAGGCACCCAAATTCCTTATCGCATCCCTGAATCAAAAGCATTTCGGGATCCCTCTACATGCAACAGTTCCTGGTTAAAACATTTCATGGGGGTTTTCGTGGATGGGAAGGAGAAGAACGAGTTTAGGCTCCAGGCAGAATTCTCCCCGCCCCCAAAACAAGAAGCATCCCACGTCTTCCAACACTCTTTTCACCCCTAAGAGGGATTCCCCCCACCCCCTTCCCGACCCTAACCTTCCCCAGTTCCTTGCCTGTCTCCAGAACGCTCCTCACACTCACCCCCCCAACCTTCTTTCCCTCCCTCCCTCAACCCCCCCTTCCCTTCTCTTCCACCTCTCCCTCCCCCCCCCCGTTCCAGAGAACAAGCAGTGATTTGCACCCGCGGGGCTCCAAACTAACCCCTGACAATGACCCTCGGATGACCCCGCCCCCTAAGGACTCCCCCCTCTCCAGAGAGCTCTCCCCCTCCCCCATTGCCCCCAACATTGACCGCCCCCCCACTGCGCCCGGGTCACACAGACTACGCTGACACGGACGGGTCTCCCCAGAGCCCCTTCCAACCCCGGAGGTCGCACCTATTGACCGCGACCCCCCAGCCCAGGCGGCCTGGGGCTTGCGACCCCCTTAGATACCGCCCCCGACCCCAGCCCCCAGCCACTCCCCCATTGCCGGGGCCCTCACTCACCCGCCTCTCTCAGCCGGCGCAGCCGAACCTGCCGGCAGCGGGCACCTGACAGGGACCCAATCAGAGCGCGACTTCCCCTCCCCCGCGCCGCCAATCAGAGGCGGGCGCGCTCCGGGACGAGCGTCAGGCTGCGTTGGCCGGTGCTCTAGGAGGAAGCGCGCCCCCTGGTGTCGGGTTGGGGGAAAGGGCAGCCTAGCTCTCTCCTTGTGGTGGTCACTGCCACCACTACGAAGATTCTTAAATCCTTTGCACCTCGTCGCATTCTGCAACTCTTAACACCCGGATTAAAGACAAAGACAGAGACCAGATAAAGAGAATGTGACTGGCAGATGGACACTTAAAGGAGATTTAAAGGAGAGAGGAGAGAAAAACAACAACAACACAACATATGGAGCTATGTATCCCCTGAAGAGCAAAGGCCATATCTTCCAGTGTTTTGTAACTGCTAATAATTCAGTTTGAAGTACTGTACATTGCACACGTGGATACAGAATAAGTGACTGAAAATGTTTACAAAAAAAATAGGTCACAGACAAAGACAGAGAGAATGTAGAGACTGGAGAGTACCAAAATAAAGCAAAGACAGAAATAGAACAAAAAGACAAAAAGGTGGAAGTGCAAACAATCAACAAGCACTTATTAAGCATCTACTGCATACCAAGCATGGTGATAGTCTCAGGGAATACAAAGACCAAAATGAAAGACTTCATTTGATAGTACATAAGCATAGACATAAGCATACCTATTCACAAAAATAAATTCAAAGTTGTTTTTTGTGTGTGTGTGTGGAATTTTGGTAGCAACTAAGCTGAGCTTTGAAAGGAAACTAGGGATTCTAAGAAGCAGAAGTAAAAAAGGTGGGCATTCTAGGAATGCATAAGAGCAGTTGCAAAAGAATGGAGATAGGAAATGGAATGTTTTTATGTGATGAACAGCAAGAAGCCCACTTTAACTAAAATGAAGAGAGACTGAAGGTTAAAACAGTGCTTGGTTGTGAAGGCTGTTAAATATCAAATGGAGAAGTTCATATTCAATCCTAGAGATAAAAAGGAGTTTATTAATCAGGGAAGTGACACGGCCAGGTCGTTGCTTTAAGAAAATCACTTTGACATTTGTATAACATATTGGTTTGGGGAAAGATTTGAGTCTGGGAGACCAATTAGCTTATTGTTGTTGTTCAGTCTTGTCGACTATTTGTGACCCCATTTGGCATTTTCTTGGCAAAAATACAGGAGTGGTTTGCCATTTAATTTTCCAGCTAATTTTAGAGATGAGGAAACTGAGGCAAATAGGGTTAAGTGACTTGCCCAGGGTCACACAGGTCATATTTGAATTTAGGAAAATGAGTTTTCCTGACTCCAGGCTGGGTGTTCTATCTACTGTGCCCCAAAGGACCTGAACTAAAGTGACCTTGTGAGCAGAAGTGATGCAAGCCTTTAAATGTTCAGCAGGAGCATTTGTCCCTCAGAAATCCTTCAATTTCTACAAATTAAGGCTTGATTTATTGTTTTGTTGTTTGTCTAGACACTTAAGATTGTCTAAACACTTAAGAAAATACTTATAATGCAGATTGAACTTAAGCATGAGTGAATACATTATTTCTGGCCCCCTCCCAGCCCAGTTGTCAAATATTTACCTGAACATTTCCATATTGCTCTATAAACATTACTTGAGCTCAGTGGACGTGCAGTAGAAGACTCAGAGAATGAAGTCACCAGACTAGAGGTGTGGTGACTATAGGTTGGTAATAATACCATAATACTTATTATTACTATTGACATCAATATAGTGCTTTAAGGTTTGCAAAATGCTTTACATCTATTATCTCATTTGAGCCCTCACAACATCCTAGGATCCAAGAGATGTCCTGGAGGTAGATTTCACAAGACTTGACAGCAAATTTGTAATTTAGAGTGAGGAAGAACAACAAATAGAGGGTGATTCCCAGATTGTGAAACTGGATGACTAGAAAGATGATGAGTCCCTTGACAGAAAAAGAAAAGTTAAGAAGAAGGTAAATTTTAGGGAAAGATAATGATTTCAGGTTTGGATGTATTGATTTAATTTGCCTATGGAACATACAGGTGGAAATGTCCAGTAAGCAGCTGGTGATTCAGGACTGGAGTTCAAGGGAGAAACTAGAACTGCATATATGCATAGGTCAGGGACACTACAGAGAAAATTAATGCAAGTTGAAGACCAGAGAGGTGGAAAGATGTCTAAGTGGAAAGGTTTTTAGAGAGGAAAAATGCCAGTGTTCCCCCTACTTCACTCAACCTAATCTCTACCAACCCATTCTCTATTGGAGGTTTCCATAAGGGCAGTCCCCTCTTTCCCCCCCACCCCCATTCTTGGCTTCCTCTCCTTTCTTCTGGAACTACTGGGAAGTTGATCTCTTCCTCAGAAGTTGTTGGATTCCTGACACTTTATTACACCATTTTTATCAGACTCCACACTCTGCTAACCTAAAGGCCTAAAGAATGATGGCAATGACTCCAAAGACTGACCCCATAGACATTCTAGGCACTTTCCCTACAATCTCTTTATTTGAGTAAATACCCCTCTGACTGCATATTGTGCCCTCATCCTGATAATTATATTCCTTTGACCATGTATACTCCAAATGGGGTAATTATCCTAATTTGAGTAACTACCCTGTTAATCTAGGCAATTTCTCTGCTCCCCAGGCAAGTCCCTACCCTCCCACACATGTAGTCCTTCCTTCCACCCTTTACTTTCACCCCCTAATTCTCATAACTACCCACACTCTGACGTAAAACTCTCTTGCTACACTTGATTAACTCCTCCCTCCCTTACCTGAGCAATTATATTCACTTCCAGGGAACTTTATCCCTCTCCCCTTCTATCTGAATTACAATCCCACAAACACAAGTCATATTCATCCTCTTCAGAGGAGTAATTTCACCTACATTTTAGCCATTACTTCACCTCAGGAAGGATTGTTAAGATCACTGGAACTGGAAAGAGGTATTTATCTTGTGGTTTCTGAAGGTATCTCACTTTAAGGGAAGTTTTGCCCAATGGGGAGAGGAAGACAATAGGATCCTGAAGAGAATGAAAGTGTTAAGATTTTAGCAGTAGGAAAGAAAGTTATTACGGGGTGGGAACACTTCTTTCTCAATTAATTCTCCCCAAAGATTTCCATACAGACATGCAAATGTGGTTTTCTGGTAAGGAAAAGAAATCACTGGACTGCTTCTCTTGCTAATCTGCCCCACCCTTTCCTTTCTCTACACTCCTCCCTTTTGGTTTCTCTCGATCTTTCCTGATACAACAGGCTAGGTTTGAAGGTCAAGACACACCTGGGGCCACACCTATAACTCCTGGGGCCAAGCCAGCTATTCATTCAATGTCACTCAAGAGAAGAGGGAGGAGAAAAGACAGGGTTGGATGATGTTGTGTTGAAGGCGGACCAGATCCCCTGATGACCCTATGCCCTTGTGCCTGAGTAGACCTTAAAAGCAGGATTAATTAGCATTAAAGATCCAAGAGAGGAAACGATTATGTTGGGTTGAAAGGCCAAGAGTTCTATGCCTGCCAGTCCTATCCCCATATACCCAATCTCCTAACCACACCTCTACTCTTTACTCCACCCTTCATTCACTCCCCTCCAGCCCCCAGACTGGGGAAAAGGAAGAGCCGAGAGAGGAAGAGAATTCCCTGGCAAACCAACTTCCACGATCCACAAAGTCAGACAGAGAAGCTGACCGGAAGCCTGTGACTCCAGCCAAGTGATCAGGTTCAGGGTTGAGAAAAGGAAAAATGGGAGGCAGTAGGGTGGAGGGAAAGATGGGCTGAGGAGTGGGGACTGGGAGATTCTGGGAGACCAGGGCATCAGCTTTGTACCATGGGGCAGGTGTCTGGGTGCACAGTGTAATTGGAGGCAGAAGTTGAATCCCTTTTCCCATTGGGGTGAAAAAGGCCCTTCTGAATCTCCCCTAACCTTGTGAAAAGCACGCACAGGGCTGGTAGCCAGACACCTGAATCTTCTTCCTGTTTCTAAGGAAAGGGTGACCTTGAACAAGTGGATGCCTCGCCCAGGCTCCACTTGCCTCTTTCTGTCTCTCTGTGTATCCATATGGCTGTTTGTTTGCATGAGTCTATGTCGACCTCAGTCTCTGAACCTTTTCTTCTCCTTTTGGTGTCTGAATGGGTTCCCCCTTTTCTCTCGGTTTCTAAGGCGCCGCCTCTCCCAAAGAGATGGTGGTAAGGCAAACTCAGTAAAGAGGAAAAGTCGGGGGTGTCAGGCAATGTCACCCTTTCACATCCACGTCGTAGACTTCTCCGGTTACAAATTAAACTGGGCGTTCCAGGGGCTGGCAGGTATCCGGGTGTCGCACCTCCCATGAGCGCTGTCCGCTATTTGGTGCTGAAATTGGGAAGAAGAGAGCCCCAGGATTGCTGTGGGCGTTGCTTAGACTAAGGGGCCCCTCCTTCTTCCCTCTCAATTGCCTGCTCCTAGATGACACAACACCCTCCCCCCTTACAGCGGGGTAGGGGTAGAAGGCGGGGCCTCCGTGAAACCCTCCCCTAGGGACTGCGGCTCCAGCCTCTCCCCCCACCCTTTCTGTGCCGCATATCCCTCTAGCACACTGCGCTTCTCCACGCAGCTCGAGTGCCAGCCCTTGCTCTGGCTCCAATTTCCAGCCGGTCTCCAACCACTTCGCCTTCTGCTCCAGCATCGGTTCTGGCCCAGCTCCGGCCCCCTTCCAGCTCCAGATCTAGCTTTCGGCCTCTGGTTCGGTTCGCTTTGGGCCCCTGCTCCAGCTCTAACTCCCAGATCGAGTAACCGGCCCCCACGCCATGGCTAGTTCCTTCTCCCGATTACTCTCTGCCCGCCCGGGACTCAGACTTCTGGCTGTGGCCGGCACAGGGTCTCTGGTTGCTGGGTACCTGCTCCGTCCCGACCCACTACGAGCCGCTGGCGAGCGAAGAAGGCTGTACCCACCCAGGTATCAGTGCCTGAGGAATGGGGTGCCTAGGGCGATGATGGGAAGAGGATGGAGATTGGGAACCAG